AGGGCACATGACACAGCCCTTCCCGAGGAAACCGCATCAACGCCCCCCGCAAGGCAGCCCAGGCCGTGCTTAGGTCGCCGTCCAGCTAAAACTCCGATTTCGGAATCGCAATCACGTCTAACTTTCCCGTGCGTATTCGCAGGGCGATCGGCTTTGGCGAAACCCCGGGGAGAAAACTCGGCTGTCTAAGGGAATGAAAAATCATCGTAGGGTCGATGATGCGTTTCTCCTAAGACTCTAAACCCATCTCCGTCTAGATGATTAAGCTAATATCGAAGTCGCAGGATGACGGCAGACTTTTCTCTCTCTCTCTTTTTTTTTTAAATTGGACACGTTTTAGGAGCCGAATGCAGAACGTTTGGTCGGTGCCAGGGCACAAACAGCGAGCGATCAGGGCTGCCCGACGCTGAGCAGCTGGCCTCGCGGGGGACGGCACTGGACGGGAGGGTTTGGTGTCGTCGGAGGTCCCCCTGGCCAGGCCGCTTCTCCCCGTGGCTTGAACTTGTCATCTGAAGTCACAGGCCGGCCCCAGGCTGGAGGCTGGAGAGAGGAAGGCGGGGCAGGGTACGGACGGAAAGCGGAGATGAAAGGCTCCCGTGTTCCGTGCATCGTGCATCGTGCATCGGCGCCTCTCACGGACTCACCCTGTGATCCGTGCAAATTTCCTCAGTTCCTCCCTCTGATTCCCTTAAGGGAGGAAAACCAAGGCAGCGATGGCCTCTCCCCGCGTGGTGCTTGGAGGGTTACGGGGAGCTTGGTGACACACGCGCTGGCGTTCCGCGGGCACGCTGCGGCGGGACGGGCCCGGCTGGCGGCCACGTGCTCGCCACGGCCACGTGCTCCCACACGGGGATGCCCCCGCGAGGCGCCCTGAGCGTCCCGCGCCGTGTGCTCGGGTCGGCCCCGCCTTCCTGGCCGCTGCCCTCGCTGGCCACGTCTACTTATAAAAAGGACCGCGATGGGGACTTGAGTGGGGTGTCTGTCTGGGTGCAGAAGGAAGGTCAACTTTGCAGACGCTTTCAAAAATGGACGGCGACACACCCACTGCCCACGCCTCCCGGGGCTGTGAGACCGTCCCTCAAACCCCTGATTCGCTGGCCACATGTACGTCTGGCTCGGCGGCTGCTCCCGGGGACTGATGGGTCACACTTAACCAGAAGGTGCACCGAAGCCGCCTGTAGAGCCTTTGCTGAAAAGGGGCCTGCGCCCTCCCCCCGAACCCAGCAGGTACTGACGGGTCCGCCCAGAGCGGGGCCCGGCGCCCGTGCCAAAGGCAGACGCCACACCACGGCCCTCCTGAGAATGCCCTGGCACCGCCTGGCGACAGCTGGGGAGGGCGCTGGGGGCCCCCGTCTCCTGTGCCTGCCAGAGGGTCTGGAAAGCGTGAAGACCCCTCTTCTCTGCTGGACTGGCCTTTGTCACCAAGAGCCCAAGGGGACTTCGTGCCCCTGGACACGCCCCGACTTCATTTGGCACGAGCGAATCGCACCCCTAATTGTGGAGTTGGCTTCTTCATGGTGTGATGACAAGAAATAAGGAAATTCAGCCAGAGCCTACTATGCTTTTAAGCCACGTAGACGAAACTTCCAGCCTCGTCAAGGGAGAGGCGGCCACGACTCGCGAATGTCCCCAGATGCGTGTTCCTTGTCCGACTGATTCTCACGTGGCCCCCAGATCGGACGGGGTGGGCGGAGGGAAGACAGTGTCCACAAGTTCCAACTCGCTCGGAAAGGCAAGTTTCTCATTCTGTTCCAACGCGAGGGTTCACGCAGTTAATTTAGTCGGTGGTATAGGATGTTTTTCCTGCAGTTCATTCCTAACCTGCCTTTGGGTCACGGCATTTAAGGCGTCTGCCTCGTTAAGCCGAGACCTTGCAGGAAGCGTTTGCAGAATAGGCAGACTCGTAATTAATGCAAAAACGTTGAGATTGTGTCCACCTGGTCCCTTTGCCTGAGTTGCTCCTACTTAATTATCTCTAACGAGCAGCTAACCCAGGGAAGAAAGTGCCGAGAACAACGTATTCGGGGGCGGGCGGGGAGCGTTGGCGGAAGCCACCTGGTCCTGTGCGCCGGCCTTTGTCACGGCAGAATGTCTCTTACGTGGCAGAATGTCACCTTGCCGCGGGGCTGGAATGGAAAGGAGCCGACTTTCGCCAGCAACCCCGGATTGCCCCTCCCTCGTCCTGGGCCGGCCAGACGCGAGCTGTGGCGTTTCCTTCTGGTCTGAGGGCGAGTCTCGAAACGAGACAGACGCGAAGGTGGGCGTGAATGACGAGCGAGCCGAGCCCCGCCTTGCCCGGCCCCCCAGCCAAGCACGCCGGGGATCGGACAGCGAAGGAGGCGGGACTTTGCACCAGGGGGACGATGGGTCACTGCTGTCCTCTCAGGGACTGCGCTGGGTTCAAAGAGAAGACCCGCTTGAGCTGTCCCTGCAGGGGCCATGGTGTCACCACGGTGTCACCCATTTCCGCCCAGCACTGCTTCGTTCGCGAGCCTCTGCTGCAGCCGGCCGTTCTCCTGCGGGGGCTTCCTGGGCCGGCTGTGAACTGGCCTGTGTCCCCACCGCTGGTCTCAGGTGGCCTCCGCTTCCTTCCCCCTCCGTCCCCAGAAATCCTCACACTCCCAGGGGCTGCACTCGGCCCCGGTGGCTCCCTCCCGCCCCGCCCCGCCCGGCCACGCAGGAGTGACTGAGCAGACGCGCCCGCAAATTGCATTGCAAATGGTGCCTATTTTTTCCAGCAGACCATCTGCTGGAGTCTATTACTCACCATCCCATCCGGACGGATCAGGTGGTTCTGTATGAAGTCACTTCTGAGTCACCTCGTCCCACACTGGCCCCTGAAAGGCACTTTGCTGGCGCTGAGGACGCTGGAAAATTACAAGCCCTTGCGAGCCGGCCCTCTCCCTTCATCTTCTCTCCTTCCCTTAGCAGACCTTTGTGTTTCTGTCAGCCCTGGAAAAGCTCCAGAATCGACTCGTCGGGTGCCATAGGACCCCAGAACGCTCGAGGTGGAGGGGATGTTGGTGGTGGCCCCTCGGTGGACAGAGGGGGACTCGTCCAGGGCCTCTGAGGACTGCAGAAGCGGGGCTGGTGGCCAGGATTCGGGCTCTTTCGTCGCACGTGCCATGCGCAGCTGAGCTTCGTACCTGCTGTGTCCAGGGAGCGGAGGTGGACGGTCATTGCACCGAGGGCTTCGTGGCAGATGAGACTGTCCTGTCAGGTGTCCGAGTGCAGCAGCAAACCCATGTCCCACTGCCGGGCCCTCTGCGGGCCGCTGGCAGGCCTGGAGGAACGTCCTTGGAGGATGAGGAGGAGTCGTTTAGGAAGAAGGGCAGACCCCTGGCATTGCTGTCACAGGTCTCAAGCACTTCGGGGTCCTCCCGCTCAGAGCTGAGGTGGGGAAGCGTGGGACGGGGACAAACCGTGCATCGGTCAGCCTCCCCAGACCCAGGAATCTGCCACCACCTGCCCAGGAGGAAGAACGGCAGAAGCCCCCTGGCGCCGCCAGCCCCCGGCTTGGCTGTGGAAGGGCTTCACGGCCGGCGGCAGCAGGACCCTCACCGCCGAGGCCTTGAGCCCCCAGCTCTGTCCGCGGCTCCCTGGTCCCCGCTGACGGCCGCCGCCCGCCCCTCCCCGCCTGGCCGCCTCGCCTGCCTCTCCGTGGTCCCTTCCCCCGCAGGCCGTCACCCCTGGGCTTCGTGCTAAGCCGCGCTGCCCTCCGTCGTGTTGTAGGCTCTCGTTTTGTTTTCCGGACATGGTCTCGGGTCCTCACTTGCCTTCGGTCATGACAGGCGCGTGCGGCTGGGGTGCGGCACGCTCCCGATGACGGCCAGTAGCGTGGACTCGCGTTATGTGATCAGGGAACGATGTGGATCGTTATTTCAAAACCAGATCTAGAGGGAATCCGTGTACTGTACGTACAGACCGGGGAACCACTCGACCCGAGAGCTGGCTGGCACCGAGACGGGGCCTCCGGTCCCCAGCCCTGACTGTGACACGTGGGAAGCGCCTTCTTTCGGCTTGTTAGAAACAGTCAGTAGAATTGTTCTTCCTGGAATAGATCTCGGGTCCTACAGAGCCCGTCCTTAGCTCCATTAGCTAAGACACTGCAGGGTGGCCGGGGTGGAACAACAGGTGTCCCTGGTGGGACCCGAGGCTCTGTCAAAGACAGGCCACTTCGTCTCCCCACCACACGGTGACATTGCGTCTGTCCTTTAAGAGCCAGGGGCAACCTGGGCCTTGAGCACCTTCTCCTGCTCGACTGTGTGTGGCTCGGGTGCCTAGGCAGTCTGCATGTGTAGGCATCCGTTGGCATACACACAGCACACACAGTAGGCCTGACACACAGTGTGTCAACAGCACACACAGTAGGCCTGACACACAGTGTGCCAACAGCACACACAGTAGGCATGAACATGTAGTATACACATAGTACACACACAGCATGCACACAGTAGATCTGACACACAGTGTGTCAACAGCACACACAGTAGGCCTGACGCACAGCGCACACGCGGCACGCGCCCAGCACGCATGAACCCTCCGGCGTCCCCTCATGCCGGCCCCGGGGTTCCTGGGCCCCGCCTCCAACGCCGCCTGCTCCGTCACCGCGGCCTGGATGTGCCTTGCTACAGTGTGGATCGCTTTCCTCTGGTTCTGTTGTTGGAATCACCTTAAAATAACAACCCTCAGCAGTACAATAATAATTCAACTCAAAAAGCACTTGTTAGGTTCATAATGCTCAAATTTGTGTCCAAAAAATGTTTGCCAGGCAGCCATCCTCTCTGGCGGGGCCTCGATCGAGGGATTCTGCTGGGCTGGCCTGGGCGGTCAGCACTGGGCACTCCCTGAGCCCCGTGGAACAAGGGCAGACAGGGCCCAGAGGGGCCTCGTCAAAGGCTGCAGATCAGGGTCCCCAGGGGAGTCGCTGACGTCCTGGCGGCTCAGGGCCGTGCCACGGGTGGCTGGACCCCACTCCTGCTGTGTTCACATGTCTCTGTTTGCCTTCAGAGGAGATCCTGAAGACGCACATCGCACACTGGTGGTCCCCCGACGGCACGAGGCTCGCCTACGCCACCATCAACGACTCCCGCGTGCCCGTCATGGAGCTCCCGGCCTACACGGGCGCCGCCTACCCCACGGCGAAGCCCTACCACTACCCCAAGGTAGGCGGGCAGCCATGGCGACACGCCACACCATCCCGACGCCATCCTGCCCGGCCCGCCCAGCGTGGCGGTGACACTCGGACGTGTTGGGACCAGTGCGGTCCACGGGGCAGGGCCGGTTCCCTCCCGCTGCCCTGCACGGAACTCCTGTCTGTCTGGGCGAGTTCCCCTTGCTGGCAGGTTACTTTATTTTAAATAACTGAACTGCCGTTCAGCTTTTGTTTGACCCCCACCTGAACCCAAATAAATACACTCTCGCCACTTGTGACTCTGTGGTGACAAAAAGTCACACTGCCCACTTTGAGACACTCTCTTCTCTTAGTCCCTTGTTAGAGTTTGGCCTCTGAGAGGCCAGAGGGGTCTGCCTGTCCCCGGGCCCTGGGTCTGGGCCGGGCTGCTTCATGCTCGGCCACATTCTGGCCGGTAGCGTGTCTGATTGCTCCCCGACCAAATTCTGGCTGAAGCCACGTGCCCTGTATGCCAGAAATGCTCTGGCCAGCAGTGTGTAGCAGGAGAGAGGCTGGCCAAGGTCCCAGAGCCCAGGTCAGGGGACACCTGACACCCCAGAACAAACCTCACAGTCCGGGGGGCCTGAGCAGCACACACTGACTCTCGTGGGTCTAGGGCAGGAGGTCACCCTCGCGGTGCTGGCCTGGTGGGTTCTGGGGTGAACCGTCTTCCGAGTTGCAGACAGCCGCCTTCTCCGAGGGTCCACGCCACGGCCCCACCCTCACGACCGCCAGCCCTGATCACCGCCCAGAGGCCCCTGCACTTTGCATCCTGCCAGGGCCTGGGGCTTCCGCCTGCGAGCTGCAGGTCCTGGTGTGACAGCCCGTTTTCTGCAGCTCCTCTGTGGGCGTGGCTGGCATCCATGAGGTCCTAGCATGGGGGCATGTGCCCCCTCCGAGGCCGCGGCCTGGGCCTCAGCCGTTTCTTGTTTTGAGAGTGTCCAGGTGTTAACGCGGGATATGGGTTTGCCTTCTGACAGACTCTCCTGCCTCTGCTTGTCACTAAGTCTGCACTATGGGGAGGGCCCAGGGCTGTGGCTGGAAGCACAGTCAGGCACAGGGCCTGGGCGACACCCAGCCTTTCAGCCTCTCCACGTGCCCACCACACGTGCACGCGCGCGCGCACACACACACACACACACGCACACACACACACACTCTTCACCGGTGGCATTTGACCTTCGTCTGACCCCCAGGGAGGGGACGGTCTCCCTGGCCAACCCTCTTACTGCGTCCCCAACAATGGGCTCTGGGATGGGAGCTCGGAGTCTTCTGGAATTATGGAACTCGGTGGCTCGGGATTTCGTGTCTCGTGTTTTAACGGACAGTCACCATACCCTGGCCAGCAGAGTTCAGACGCCCTTCACCCCGAACCAGAGGCGTGAGCTGGTGGGCCCACGTGCCGCCCCGTCGTGGGCGGAGCTCAAGGAAGCGTCAGCGACACCCACAGTCGTGTGACGGCAGGTGGCTCGCTCGTCCCTCACATCTCTGACCCTTTGCGCCCCGCAGGCTGGCTGCGAAAACCCCAGCATTTCCCTGCACGTCATCGGCTTGAACGGGCCCACCCACGATCTGGAGATGACGCCGCCGGACGACCCGCGCATGAGGTTCGCTCCCTCCCTCCCTCCGCGACGCCGGACGTAGCGATAATCAGACGGGCGTCCACGCGCGTCTCCGCGGGCGCGGGTGTGAGTTAGCGCTAATTTAAACATCAGAGAAAGAGGTGCGTTTCCTGCACGGTTACCCCCACCGCGGTAAGTCCCAGGTCGGTTTTTACGGGAACCCCAGTCACCCCGCGTTACCCGCTCCCACCTTGCCGGGAGCCCAGTGCGGGGCGCTGCTCTGACCCGCGGATGCCCGTGCAGTCGGCCCCGGGAGATACGGGTCACTTCCCGCCAGGGCCGCCAGTTTGGAGCGGGACTTTGGAGCGTGGCTGTGCCCCGCTGGCTCCAGGGACTGAGGCGCGAGCCCCGTTTCGTAAGCCGGAGCTCCCAGGGGCTTAGTCCACAGCCGCGTCTCGGGGGGAACATCCCGACGGGCGCGCAGCCTCTGGTTTAGGTGGATTTTTTTTTTTTTTTAATCAAAACAGCCGAGCAGCAGGATCTATCAAAGCGAAGTGGTCTGAATATCGGTTTCGTTTTGTCCCAGAGTTCATCAGCCTGGGGGTGATTAACTTCCAGAGCCCCCTCGTGCCGTCGTTAGACCTGTCTGTCAAGAATGCTGGTGGGAGACTCGGGCGAACAAGGGGGACTTGGGCTGGCACGGCGGCGGGGGGGGCTGCTCGTTTACAGACCCCCCGTAACCTGTCCGGGGGGCCCAGAACGAGTCCCCCTGGGACTCGGCGCGCGGCCATAACCCCAGCTGGGCTGTTACACTTCAGCGACAAAAACCTCCACGTTAGTAGCTTCCGGAAGTTTCTGGAAGGCCAGGGGCTGTGGCCCCAGCCCCCACGGCTCCTCGGCAGGCCCAGCTCGGGGCTGGGTGTGTGGGGGCTCGTGTCTGCGGGTCTGCTGTGCACGCCGTGGCCTCCTCCTGTGGTGGCTTCCGTGGCCAGACCACCCGCCCACATCCCGGGACCCCGAGGCCTCGGTCGAATTCCACTGGGGTTTTCTCGATCCTCCTTCAGTGAAACGTGAGGTGTGTAAGGTCGTCGGCTGAGCAGACCAGTGTTCTCCGAAGGGCTCCCCACTGCCTCTCTCTGTCCCCCTGGGCTGACCCTCTCCCCCGGCAGCCAGCCTCCCCTCGATGCGCCTACGGCCCCGCCTTGGGGAGCGGGCCCTCTGTGTGTGAGTCAGGGAGAATCAAATCGATTTGGCTGGTGATGTTTTTTCCGGGATAAAAGAAACGTTCCGATTATTGCTCTGTCTTCTCTCGTGACGATCCACAGATTTCACTGTTTTCCCTCGGCCCCCATCCCTGCCAGGCCTCCTGGGGCCTGGTCCAGCAAACTCACTGAATTAATATGGAAAGTCACCTGGAAAATTTAAGCCATCTGTTTGAGTTAATTGAAAATCTCGTTTAGTCAATTTGGTGGTGCTTTTTCCGCAGGCTCGATTAGCTTCAAGGACAGTGAGAAATTAGCCTCTGCCAGAGCCCGGTTCAGGTTCTGGCTGCAGGTTCCGTTCATTCTCATTCCCTAAGCTAAAGGCAGTGACTCTCGTCCTCGGCCACAGAGATCTGTAACAGGCAAGGGTCCCACCTGGTCACACCCCTTCTCTGTCACGTGCCCTCGAGATTTTTCGAAGGTGAGCACAGGTATGTCGGAAATCGTGGACTGACCGTGAGTGGCTGTGTGTTGGGCATTTATCATTCTCCAACCACTGGGCTGAGAATTTAGCGGTGAATGAAGCGTGGAGGTCGCGATGCAGGGGGTCGGACCGTGAACAAATCGTGACGGGCACACGAGTGACCGCGGGTGTGGGCGGCGGGGGAGGAGCCTGGCCTGGCCTGCGGGGCGATGGCATCGTGCTCTGGAACAGTGTCCGGGACCTAATGGTTCTTTGCTGGGGGGTGTCCCGTGCCTGGCACAGTGTGTGGCAGCACCCCTGGCCTCCACACATCGGACGCCAGTGGTACCCTCCCACCCCCCACCCCCGAGTCGTGACAATAACAAATGTCTCCGGCCATCGTCCAGTGTCCCCAGATGGAGAGCCGCCGGTTTAGAGGGAAGATTCTCGAGCCAGCTGCCTGGGTCCAAATCCTAGTTCCAGTCCTGGTCTCACTTCTGTTTCTTCCTCCACAAACCGGGGATGATGATGATTCGCGAAAGCGTTCGCTCTCGCGGGTGGTTGTGCAAATTCAATGAGCTAATGCACAGAGCACAGGGCTGGCTCCCGGGTCGGCCCGCTCACGGCCGTCAGCGCCACCTGTAGGGACTGCCCCCGGCCCCGGCCTGTTCACGTCTGGCTCACACCCTCCCCACTTCGACTGGTCCAGCCGCGGTTCTCAGGGAAAGCGGGTGAGCATGCGTCACTCACCCCCAGCAAGGGAACGATGAGGGGTTACGAGCAGCCCAAAGGGCATTCGAGAAGCTAGGGGCACAGGGACGGTCTGACAGAGAACCGTGTGGGTAAGTTTGCTGGCTCACAGGTCCATCCGACAGCCCTCAGTTGTGACCTTTGAAAATATCTGATCCGCCAGACAAAAGACACAGGTGACGGCCACCCGAGCAGAGGTGGCCGGTCAGTGCAAAGCCAAGCCCCGCTCCGCACTGGAAGAACATCCGGCAACCTCATTCGCCTCTCTGCCAGTTTCAGACAGATTTTCCGACAGTCTCTAAACGGATCCCACACCGAGCACCCCAGAGTCACCTCTAAACTAGGTCAGATCACACGCTCCCTCTGCTCAGAACCTCCCGTGGCTTCCCGTTTCTCCGGGAACATCAGGCAAGCTTCTGACAGTGGCCCAAAGTCCTGGACGCCTGCTGGCGGCGTTCTCGCTTGTCCCTCCCCAACCTCTGCTGGGCTTGCCCTTTTTAGGGGCGTCGCGCAGGGCTCCCCTGCCTGGAACCCTCCCCCCACACACAGCCACAGCCTGAGCGCCGGGTCCCTTAGGTGCCATCAAATGCAGCGCCTCTGGGGGAAGGACACCCGTGAGAAGCTCGTGTAAAGTGGCCCAGCCCCTTTCTTGGAAGCGTTCACGTTAAAGGTGACTGAGAACGGTGACCCCAGTGACACCGGGCGGAGGGCAGCGCAGCGATGGCTGGTCCAGCTGAGAAGGGTCACCCTGCGCCTCTCCAGGGTGCGGCGTGTCTGCGGGCGGAACGCGGGGACAGCCTCGTGCGCCTCCGTCCTGGGGCCTGCGACGCCACCTAGAACCCGGCAGCCTGATGGGACAAACACGGCTCCTTCCGCCGGGTTCCTCGGGCCTCCCCAGAGTGACGGCGCTGGGCGCCGAGTGAAGACGTAGCTGACACCCGCGGGTCTTGTTGAAGCCGCGTCACCCGCGCTGACGTGTGTTTATTCTCCAGATGCCCCCGCGGACGGGTGCGGTAACCGTTGCCGCCGCGTGCGATCTCCTGACGGCCTGGCCCCAGAGCCTGAGACCGGACGACAGTGTCCAAGAAAGACACCTGGCACCTGTGTCCCTGATGGGCCGGGCCCAGGGGACGGGCTCCGCCTCCCCGAACCCTCCCGAGGCCTCTCGCTCTCATTTTTCTTTACTGTGGCTGTTCCGTTTCGCTCTCCAGCACCAAGGGTCCCGATCCGCTCGGTTCGTGATCTGCCAACCTGGGGAACGGCCACGTCGCTCTATTTGTGGGTTTGCTCTTGCTCAGACTTATTCAAATGCCACCTCCACCTCCATCCCCGAATCTGTCACCCTACTAACATCTCTAATTAAGTCGTTTGTCTTTATGTTGACTCTGGGAAGATATTTGTCTCATATCTGAACGTGACTTTCGAATTCCCTTGAAAGTGTTCTGGGTATGAACTTCAAGTGCATCAGTGCCCTCTGTCCACCTCAGAGCTGGCCCGCCCTACCTCTGGTTCTACCTCACACGCCAAAGTAACGACCTGGGTACCTAAAAATTCAAATGAGTTCATCGCAGGGAGCAGGTCAAGGGGGTGGGCTCAACCAGACAGCGTCCGTGTCTATCAGATCAGGTGTGGTCTTCGTTACCCTCTAGGTCCAGAAGCCATTCAAGGGGACTGCAGCTCCAGGCTGGAGAAATGACAGGTCTTTATTTCACGGGGGCACGGAAGAGGTGAGGCACAGGATTCCTGTACACCCCAGGTTTCTGTGCATCCTTCGGCCAAAACTGTCCCGTGCTCCGGGGGCCTGGAGGTCTGAGTCTGGGCAGTCGGGTGAATAGGTGCCCGGTGAAGGGAGCGTGTTCGATGTTGCCGTGGCCCGCATCGGAAAGGGCAGCCAGATTGTTCTGAAGACACCGTGAGCGGATACGCGAGGAAGCGTGAGCTGTCGGGCTCAGGCAGAGCGGGAGGCAGCGGAAAAGCGGAACGTGACTCTGCCGGCCCCGCCCATCAGCACGACGCCTCTGTCGGCCACCAAGCTCCTTCAGCCAGGAAATCGGTGCTGACATTTGAAGGTGTCAGCGACACACTGGACAAGGGTTTTCAAGGCCACGTCGCAAAGCTGAGTGAGCTGGTTAACAGGAGACTCAGAGGGCCTGAGTGACAGGTACAGCTCCCCACGGACCAACAGCTAGCGAACGCGGTACATGGATTTGATGGCATCTGCAAGAGAGTGGGATGTGGCAGAATGTGCAGCCTTCGTGTTTGTAAAGTGCTGGGTGCGCGTCGAGCCGAGCACAAACAGGGGTCACGGCTCCCGGCCGCGGCGCATCGGTCTCCTGCTCCCCTCTTAACGGCTCCCTGCTTCTGGGGCCGGGCTGCAGGGGGTCTCGGACCGTGTCCCTTATCGTCCTTGCACTTCCTTCTCGACTCACGGAGGAGGAGAGGGAGGCCCACGGAAGGCAGGGGACCTGCACAGAGTCGCAGCTGATCCATGGGTTCCAGATCCGGTGTCCCCTGGTGCACCGCCTGTGTCTGCTCTGTCCCCCACGCGCTCTCAGGGCCTCGGCGATCAGACCCCTCCCCACCTACCCAGCTGTGCTCACTTGTACCGTCATCGACACAAGGATTCCGAG